GGGGGAAGAAAGGAGCAGGGAAGGAGGAGAGCAAGGAGAGAAAGGAGAAGGGAGAGGAGGGGAACAGGGGAGAGTGGAACAGGGGGAGGAGGAAGCAGGGAGAAAGAGGAGCAGAGAGAGAACGGAGCAGGGACAGAGAGAGGGCTGGACTACTCTTAAAACTACTCCAAATTCCCCCCGAGCAGCCCCGCAGGCTCCCCCGGGCTGTCCCGCACCAGGACCCGGCCGGTCGCGGCATCCGCGGGCACCGAGAGCGGTGCGGCCGCCCCGCCCCTGCCGGCGTGGCAGCTCCCGGGAGGGGGCCGGCAGGTGGGACCCGCGGCGCCTCAGCCCCCACAGGCCGGCGGGCGAGCGGGACGCCCCCGCACCCGCCCCAGCGCCCCTCCCGCCCTCCCTCCGTTCCGCTGGCCGGGCGGCGGCCGCCTCACCCCGTGCACGTGGAAGCCCTCGGCGCCGCCGCCGGGGCCCTCGGAGCTGGAGCCCAACCCCATGGCCGCGGCACCGCCACGGACCCGCTCGGACCCGGCCGGACCCTCAGGCGGCGGCGGCGGCTCCGAGCATCGCCCTCGCGCCGCTCCCGCAGGCCTGAGCAAGCGAGCGCCGAACGCGGCGCCGGCGCACGGCGGGGCGAGGTAGGAGCGCAGCTCCACTCCGCGCCCTGGCGCGCGACGGCGGGGAACGCCCCCTAGAGACGGGGGCGGGGCCAGGGAAGCAAATCGTTACCGCGATAGGCGGGGCCAGCGCTGAGGGGGCGGGGCCAGTGTGAGGGGTGGGGGAAGCGGCGGAACCGTAAAATTAAGCAACAACAGCAACAAAAAGAAACTCACAAAGTCACAGAATCTCAGGATTGCTTAGGTTGGAAAAGAGCTCTGAAATCAGCGAGTCCAACCTCTGACCGAACACCACCGTGTCAACCAGACCGTGGCACTGGGTGCCACGTCCAGGCTTTCCTTAAACACCTCCAGGGGCAGCCCATTACAATATATAATCACACTTTCTGCTTCCTGTGAAGAAGTTCTTCCAAATGTCCAACCTAAACATCCCCTGCCGCAGCTTAAGACCATAAAAAAAGAAAACAAAAAAAACCCCACACAAACCCAAACCGGTTCACTCCAGTTTTCACTACTGTTCTCATTCTTACAGCCTTTAAAAATCATCCCCCTGTTAGTATAACCCACGAAGAGATTATTGTTAATATTTTACCAATGTCTACTTCACATACGCATTTCTAAAGAGCCCTTGTTTCTCTTCCCCTCCGTAGGCACATATCTGGTTTTGCTCTGGAATGGTGTTTCCACCAGCTGAGACGATTTTTAGCATTAAGAGGTGAAGAAGCAAATCAACAGCCCGGTGTTGTTTTTCAAGGCACAGGGGGTATGTGGGTGATCACCAAGAGGTGGTGGTATTTCAACCCCCCCAGAAATTTCATGCCTGTGTTTTACTTGGGATGTATTCTTCTGATTCTGCCTCCAGCTCGCTAATGGAAAAGTTCTGAGAGTTTTCAAAGTAGCAGTAATAATTTGAAGCGTTATTGTATTATTATAAAGTGCCAGTTATATTTCCTGCGTGGGTAATTTCATTTCAGGTATAATAGCATCCATTTCAGTAAAACTCCTTGGTAGCACTGCTCTCACCTCCAAAATGTCATTTTTCCAAAGGATCCATCCACATAATTTCTGTGGTTCAAGTGTGATGCATAAAGACATAAGAGAAAAAGAGCTGCTTCTCCATCCTCTGCCTTTGCTTCCATGCGAAACTCTTAATTTCCCTGTCGCTTCAGAGCTAATTATGCATGAAAGGCACACACACTGGCTCATTTTTCTCCTAAGAAAGATCTGGATAGTCTCAGGAGCCTCTTTAAGTAACTTTTTCTTGGAGTTGTCTCTAAGCTGTGACTGCAGATCTGTGCAGCACATTTATTGAGCAGATGGCAGAAGTGCATGCAAGCATTCAGAAAAAAATAAAATTGTGCCAAACGTTTTTCTGATGGTTTTTTGTGGGGTTTTTTTGCTGTGTAAATTTAGGAACCTTACCACATAGTTGTATTTTTTCTTAAACTGCTTTTCTCCCCCATATTTTTTATAGCAGGTGAGCCAATGAAGAACTGTAGTGTAGGCAGTGTAATTGTGTTTCTACAAATAGAAATGAGAAATGTTTCTTCAGTCATACCAAAAGAAGATACCAGAGAAGAGAGTCTGATCCCAGTATAAAATTAGCTCTTTGGAAATATAAGATCATAGTAAAAAAAAATATATATACAGGAATTCTTTGCATTTGTGTTTACCATGGAAGGCAATGAGGAGATTCCCATCCCCAGACCTCTCTTTGCATGTCTCTTGTCAAGGTGGAGGTCAAAGAGCCCATAAAGAAACAAGATGGACAGTAAACTTGCAGGAATAGGTGATACTTTCCTAATCTCTTTGGAGGAACAGGGGAATGAGATAACACAGCATAACAAATTGTATTGAACTGCTTAAAGCATATTGGCTGCAGGGGAGTGGAAAGTACCAAATACCCTGCTTTTTGGAAGGAATTCTAGTACAGATCTGAAGGGGAGGTCTCTAAGTCTCAACAAAGTAATAGAAGCTATAATAAATAATAATTTTGTCCTGGATGTCTGAGTATTACATTCTTGGGAAGCGCTCGCGTGGCCCTGATAAGGGGATATCCCATCTCACACATCTGTTGCAGTTCCTAAAGGTGTTAACAAACACACAGAAAGAAGTGATCTTGTTGCTTAGATTTCAAAAAAAAAAAAAGCTTTATCAAGGTTTTTCAAGGAAACTAAGCAGCAATACTGTAAGATGTATTTATTTCAATGAGTGGTTAAAAGATAATAGATGTTAGAAGCCAATGATCACTGAATGGAAAGATCATCTAAAGAGTGATAAAAAAAAAACCCAGACATTGCTTTTCTTCATGTTCTAAGAGCCCTGGAAAGAGAGATAAGCAGTGAGATGACAAAAGGTGTAAAAATATAGATAAGGTGGTCTTTTTTTCCCCCCTTGTGCTTTTACATTTTACTTGTCAGAAGTTCCAACAGTTTGAAACTTGGCATTGCATTAGCCCAGTGTTTCATGCTATTATTCAGGTTAAATTAGGAGTCGTAGTATGAAAGAAATCCAGGGATGATTTGATAGATGTGGGTATGTTTTAAGTTTAATTTACTAAATAAATACTAGTACATAAATAAATACTAGTACAAAAAATAACGTTGCTGTCACTAAAGTTACTGAAAAAAATCTGATCTGCCCTGGACCATTGTTTTGCATCAGTTTTGTTTATTTAGAAAAATACTTAAGTTCCTGTTTATTCAACACTTGAGCAGTGCTTCCATATGAAATTTGTCAGCTTACCCAAAGCTCAGAGGCTTTAATAAATTATTAAAGAGCAGCATTGCATAGCAGAATCTGTAGAGACACATTGTGTAGTCTCGTGAAGAGAAATAAAGTTTTTTTTTCATGTAGGTCGCTTGAAGAGGATTCTGTGCTACACTAAAGATTGTGTGGGTGTTTCTAGAACAGCAGCACAAGAGTATTTCAGTCTCTAGAGGAGAACACTACCTAGTGGCTACTTCTTCTACAAAAGATAATCAATTTTAGGAATACAAAATTCCTGAAAGACATGGAACACTTACAGCTCACACAGGAGTGACCCAAGGTTCAGCAGTGGGGACTGAGATGAAGTTCTGTACAAGGTCATGGAAGATTTACATTCTGGGTCAGGGTAGAGTTCCATATTACTTTTCAGTGTCCCTGTTTTCAAAAATAATTAGTTTTTTTAAGATATACTTTCTAAAGAAGAAAACTTACTACTATTTTACTACCCGATCTGCAAATGCTGAACAATTTTGATTTCAGATTTGACAGATTTGACACAATCTGTCAAAATCTGAAAAAATATATGTTTTTCAGGATTAGGAGGCTTTTTTTCATTTGACTGCTTTTGCTATTACATGACAAAATTTAACGCATTTAGCACATTTTTCTTTGAATGTTTATTTCTAGATTGTTAAGGTGGTTTAAAGCTGGAAAATAAAAGAAGCAGGAAGAACGCAGAGACTAATGAATTATATTTTGCAGGAATGTTTTTATGGCTAACGGATAAAAATGATGAAGGACTTGACAGAAGGCTAGAAATGTCTCCTGGATCTAGGAAGGGAGTGTATCAATGGCATTTCATCCATAGCAAGGCAGAAGTCCTCACTATTAAAAAGTAAAATGAGATCATCAGACTTTTATCAAAATATGAGAATGTATAAATATGCAAAAAACTAGTGTATACTGTACAGATTATAATTATTCAGATTACGTTTCTTGTTTACTATATAATCTGGGATAATTAAATGATTTTTTTTTTTTTGGTGGAGATTTTTACATTATTCCAAAACATTTTCTGATGAGCAAGAATGGTGGGGTTTTTTCCACAGTGGGAAAATAAAATAATGGTTGGGGTAAAACTGTTTCCTCAGGTTTACTTACATTTGTTTGTAACTTTGGAATGACTTTAATGTAGTTATATGCCAGAGGCAAGGAGCCTGGAATTAAAAGGCTTTCTGAACAGGTCTTACAGACTGTTCCACTAAGAGGCAAATCCTGACCAACTCACAAAAAGGGCCAAGAAGATTTTCCAGCCTCTTCTTCCTGTGATTATTCTTTCC